TATATATATATATCAAGTTTTACAATTTTATCGAAAATAAATACCGTGAATTTTATATAATCGTGAGATTATGCATCAGAATAGCTATCTTTTTTCAGGTCCACCTTTGCTTGATCATTTTCATTCCTTTCCTAAGAAACTCGAAGTCAGGTGCAAAAGCAATTAACCCTACAACTCTTTATAAATTTAATAATAACTTATGAAAATTTAGTTTTAATTCAAAACTGTCATACAAATGACGTTAAAACAGCTTTAAAAAAATAAAGAATGTCAGATAGAAAGTTCAATCTCAAGATTCTAAAATCTTGGAGAATCAAAAATAATTTATTAATTGATTTATATTTCCTTTTCAAAGGAGATTAAAAAAAAACAATAACAATCTGTTTTCTTGAACCAGAAAACAACTCTAAAATTTTTTTTGGTTGCTTAGCAATGAGAAGCACTATGATTTTTCCGTCTAGTCATTCATTCAGTTTCTTTATGGTTGTTATCAGTTATTTCCCCTTCTATGGCGAGGTAATTTGGCATATTTTTAAACTTTCACCATATAAACTCATGTTTGTGAAAATTGCAACACCATTAAGGACTTACGCGAGTGAGCTGAAATTTTCAGGAAATGCAAAGTAGAGCATGATATGCAAATTATTAGAATTTCATACCCTTAGCGCATGCGTATGCTGAGCAGCGCCCTCTGAACGGCGGATGGATCCGAATAAATAGACGGCTGTTGCCAAGCGAGTATGGTTATCGGTGGTTATCTGCTAGTGGTAAACGTTAGCTTAGTCATTACTTATGCCTATTCGACGAAAGAGAGCGAGATTTCAACAACTTACGGAATTTAAACGGGGGAGAATCATCGGCCTTCGTGAAGGTGGATTATCTTATCGTGCAGTAGCCGCTCGTGTGCAACAGCAGCACAGTGATGCGTGTTTGAAAGCAGTGGATGGACGAGTGTCGGACAACTCGGAAATCCGGGAGTGAACCCCGAAATGTCACGTCAGCTTGCGATGATAGACACCTGTTCAGCGTTGCNTTTTTTTTTTTTTTTTTTTTTTTTTTTTTTTTTTTTTTTTTTTTTTTTTTTTTTTTTTGCGGACTGTACATCTGATACAAGCTAGGAGTTGCACCAACTGGAAAGGAAGAAATTACTATCTCGAGACTCGAATGGCTTGCAGCTACTATAGCATCATAGCTTTCGTCTTCAATTTTGACAGAGATACAGAAGTTTATTTCTGAATTGATTAATTTACTGTATAAGCGTGGATAACCAGAAAAGATGCCTGGAATATCTTTTCTGAGAATAGAGTGAAAGAAATAAGAAGTCTAACAAATAAAAAATGTGAGAGACACATTCCTAGCTCTATAAATCCAGCTGACATGCCAAGGAGAGGTTGTTCAGCTTTAAAACTATTGAAATCTAACTTGTCCAGATTTGTCCTAATTAGGTCCAGATTGACTTTACTTAAAAGAAAAAAGTTGGCCAAAAGGAGAATTCAATTTAAATGATAGTGAGATTTCAAGAGAAAAGAAAAAGAGCATGGTTTTATCTGTAGCAAAATGCATGGTTACTACATGCCTGGTTATCAAGAGAGATTTGCATTGCATATATTTTTCCAATTAAAAAAAAATAGTTAATCTAATAGCCTGGATCCTGAGATTTACTTAGAATTGTCGATCTATACAATCCGAGAGAAGACACGGAATCCTGGATTCTGTGGAAGTTTTTGCAGCCTAGAAATTACTGATCAAAATTATACAAGAAGACTGCTTTGAAAATGAGAGAGATGAAAAATTAAAAACTTAGGAGAATTCAAAGATCAAAGTTGAACTCACAAGCAGAAAACCAAATTTATTTTTCGTCAAGATAAAAAACCAGCTTTTCTTCCATCGACTCATGAGGTTGTCAAGAGGTTAATACAATATACAAGAAATATACACATGCTGGAACTCAAATTTTGATCAATATTCGAATAAAAAAAATTTGGATTCTCAATTTTACAGTGCGATCTGTTATAAATAACAGAATATTTTCAGCTAAAAACCAAAAAGTTCGTAATGCACCGCCTCCAAAAGACAGACATCAGAATCAGCTGTGTTTGAATTTTGTGGAGTGGACTTGACAGGTCCCAGTGATCCTGATCTTTTTTATTTACATGTGCAGTTTACAAAGCATTCCCTTTAGAATTGTGTATTGTAGAATGCGTAATTCATTTGTAGGTATCATTGGCGTGTATATCGTAATTCATATTAAAACATTTTGTGTGTATAAGTTGTTTATGGAATAATCAGGAACACTGACATAAAATAATACTGATTCGAAGTGCAGAACGGAATATAATCATAATTTATTCAATAATTAACCCAATTTTTTTAAGAAAGAAATTAAATTGTAAGAAATATAAATTTAATTCAAAAAGCTTTTGTAATAATGTGAAAAGGAAAATTCAAAGGTATTTTTTACCACCATTTTGGCGATGATAGTGTAGTTGAGTGCACCAATAAACAAACATATTGTTTCATTGTCAGTTTTGAGTGAAATGTGAGCAAGATGGTGAGTAAGATATTTAGTTGTAAGAAAGAGCTCCTGATGATTTTTTCTTATGAGGTTGCAAATGAGCTCAGTTAATGAGGTTGTCCACGAAGACCTATCGCAGTTGCTCTGGATTTATTCCCATTTTGTTAAACAATGGAATTTCTATAGTTCGGTAGTTGGACTCAGGCTCTTCGGATAAAAATTTTATTTCTCTAAAGCCAAAGAGGACTATAAGTTTATTAAAAAAAGAACTTTGTTTAATTTTAACAAAATAATTGGCAGGAGATAGAAGCGTGTCAAGACGTGGAATTGAGACGAAGAGTATTTGTACTTTATATGTCTTTTTACTTGTCAATTTTCAAAATCAAAACTTTATATTCATTACTTTTGCTTCAATTTCGTGTACTCCATAAAAGTAATGTTTCCATATATTGGATCAACATAACGATTAAATGTTTACTTTATATCGATGAATCACCAGTGTCTTCTTTTTTTATGCAATTTATGCTATAAAGCGTAAATGTATGTTTACTTCAAAAATCTTCTTTTCTTTTGCAGGGAGGTTTAAAAGCCGTTCTATGGACCGACGTTCTTCAAGCAATGCTCATGTTCACATGCGTGATAGCTTTCTTCTCGGCTGGGCTTGTAGACACGGGCGGTGTTTTTAAGATTTATGAGCGTGCAATTGAAGGAAAGAGAATGAATTTATTTAAGTAACTTGAATCAGTTACAAATATTATTTTATTGCGAAATTATTTAATGTTTAAGATAAATTAAGAATTAATAAAGACTAATTGCAATAAATTACAATTAGTCTCAATTAATAAAAAGTTAGGGGAGAGTCGGGTAGCCCCGCCCACCTAAGGAGTTTTGCTTATATTTCTGTATAATATTGAGTAATAATCAATATTTTTGTTTGTTTCTATTGTTTTACCATCTAGCTAAATAATGCAAAAAGAATAAACCGAAAAAAGAATAGTTTAACTTAAAAAAATAGAAATTTAAAAAAACATGTTTTTTAGCTCCTTTCAAGATGTGTCGGGTAGCAAGATGTGTCTCAATTAATAAAAAGTTAGGGGAGAGTCGGGTAGCCCCGCCCACCTAAGGAGTTTTGCTTATATTTCTGTATAATATTGAGTAATAATCAATATTTTTGTATGTTTCTATTGTTTTACCATCTAGTTAAATAATGCAAAAAGAACAAACCGAAAAAAGAATAGTTTAACTTAAAAAAATAGAAATTTAAAAAAACATGTTTTTTAGCTCCTTTCAAGATGTGTCGGGTAGTCCCGCCCAGTTACAAAAATTGGGTTTTTTGGCTATTTTTTCAGGTGTAAATGAGAATGACCAATGTATCGACAATAGATAAACCTCATTTATCATTTTTATCACAAAATTATTTTATTTATTACATATTTATATACTTTTAGTGAATTCTATCATTTAATAACAACAAATGTCATACTTTTTATCATTATTAATGTATATTAATATATTATAATATTAATATATATTTATATTAAATATTTAACGAAAATAATTTAATTTAAGTAACAATAATTAATAACAATAGTTGTTTTTCTATATAAACTTATTTGGTTGATCTCTTCTTATAAACTTAATTTAAAATACTTTTTATAAAATTACAAATTCACTTTGTATTTTAATTGCATTCAAATGCTTCTGTAGATTGATTCGTTCACAAATAAGTAAGCAAATAGCTTATCATAATATTTATGATTTCTTGATATTAAATTTAATTAGGATATATCAATTACATTCTAAAAAATATTTAATTTGCATTTTTAAATATATAAATTTTTGCATTTTTAAATAGATAAATTTATGTTTCATATAATATTAAAACATATTGGTAATTGATATATCCAAATTAAATTTAATATCAAGAAATCATAAATATTATGATAAGCTATTTGCTTACTTATTTATTTTCACTTATTTGTGAACGAATCAATCTACAGAAGCATTTGAATGCAATCAAAATACAAAGTGAATTTGTAATTTTATAAGAAGTATTTTATATTATGTTTATAAGAAGAGATCAACCAAATAAGTTTATATTGAAAAACAACTATTGTTATTAATTATTGTTACTTAAATTAAATTATTTTCATTAAATATTTAATATAAATATATATTAATATTATAATATATTAATATACATTAATAATGATAAAAGGTATGACATTTGTTGTTATTAAATGATAGAATTCACTAAAAGTATATAAATATGTAATAAATAAGATAATTTTGTGATAAAAATGATAAATAAGGTTTATCTATTGTCAATACATTGGTCATTCTCATTTACACCTGAAAAAATAGCCAAAAAACACAATTTTTGTAACTGGGCGGGGCTACCCGAAATCCAATTTTTTTGTAAATTTGTAATTACTAGAACAATTTTTTACATACAAACTTCTTTCTTTGTGCAAATTAAACTTAAGACTACATACTTTAATGCTGTATGTATAAAAAAAATTATTTTTTTAGTATTAAAATGAAGTTTAATCGAAACATTCAATCAATTTTTCTTAATTTCATGACTTCTGTATTCAACATATTTTCAAAACTATTGCTTACCATGTTACCAGCTGCATAAATACTTGAAACTTTGAAAATAATCTTTTTTTAATATAACAATTAATGTCCGATGGCCCATTGACTTGAAAAAATATTCTATACACATGAAATTGACTGTGGGCGGGGGTACCAGCTGGGCGGTGCTACCCGACTCTCCCCTACATCTGCATTTATAAAAAGATACATCTGTTAAACTACTTCTATGTATTAAATATTATTTCAGTTGAATTCATTCCATTGATATGCTGAATTCGAGAATTTTAGTTCATAACGAAGTTTATTCAATGCAAACACTGTGTGGAAAATATGTCTAACAGGGTTAAAAAATAGCAATTAATTTCTCACTTAGCATACAATGCAAAACAGGATTATTTCATAATGGCCTATAAACTCGAGCAACGGGCAAACTTTTTACAATACTTTTCGCAAAGAAATTATATATTTACAAAATAAAAATTATTTTTGAAGGAATTATTTATAAAATTTTTGCTTAAACAGCTGTTTTAAAAATGTAGTGCTCAATATGAAATAAATGAATAAGTTGTTATTAAAATAAAATGAAATCGTACAACGAACTTTGTTGACTGGTTCAAGGTAACATATCTTTATATTGTTGCCATAAGCAGTTAAGTTAACATTCATGGTTTTTTTTTTAAAGTTCTTTAGCTAGAGAAAGCCACAGTGTAAGTGCCTTATACTTGAAGCTAAGCTATAATTTTAAATTATATATGCCGTGAGGAATTATTTGGGCCTCAAAACGGACAAATATCTTAAATATTCTAAAATTATTTAACTTTCTTGCAGACATTCTCTTACAAAGAATTTAACTATCGAAATTAATGCCAAATTCTCATATTTTGCAAATATTTATGAACTCATATTGGAGTAGTATTGAGCTCATATACTATTGGAATAAGTCTTGAAATATTAAGAAAATTAGACCACATTTTCTTAAAACTGATGCTTTTTTCTGCGATTTTTAGAATAAGCGCAGAAGGAATTGGCTAAAGGTTGGCTAAACCAACCATGAGTAACAGTAGCAAACTCACAGTAATTATAAAAATAGCATATTATTCACAAAAAAGCATCATTTCTTGCGACGACAGAGCCTTAAAGTTAAGAAGGAACAAAAAGGACGATGCCTGTGTTTTAGGGTAAATATGTTATATTTTTAGAAATCTAGAAAGGTTTTCGTGAATAATATATTCTGTTTCCAAGCCTTTTATAAAATAATTTTTAAACTCTTTTTGAAATAAAATGAAAGTAAAATTGACACTTGTTGTTTACCGCCAAACAAACTGTGATTTTAGGTATCAGTGGTTTAAGTAAATTGGAGATCTTATGAGAAAAATATTTTGTATTAATTTGTTATCTGACCCATTTTTAAAACGTTTTTGTATTTTTTTATTCATATCAAGTATATTTTTACACTATTGTAACTTTAAAACCATTTGTATAACTAGTTTTCATTTTTTTAAGTGGCTTAAACGGGGTAAAAACATCCCTTGCGATCGAAAAGCTTAAACACCTTCAAGTAAAGTGGGACTCTCTTAATAAAAATAAGCTAAAAATATTTCGTTATAACTTTTAATAATTGCAAATTAAGTTCTTGATCAAGTTTTTGTTTCTCGTTTAGCATACAACTCAAAACAGGATTATTTCATAATTACATATAAATTCAAGTAGCAGGTTAAAAAATTAAAAAAGTGATAGTCAAAGTTCTGATTTTTTTTCAGTCCTTAGAATATTTAAAAATCTAGTTTATCTTTATTTAAAAAAGTAATTGCAACCTGCTTAATCTCCCTACCCTACACAAATTTGTAAATTTCATGATTCTAATAATTAAGTATATTAATTAATACGCGAACTCATTGCTCTTTTCTATGTTCTTAACCTGTTGAATGCAATTCTCAACAGCAGGTATTGTTTCAAATTCTACCAAACCAAAATTTTCAGTAAGAATCTTAATTTCAAAAATTGTGAAGTCATGCAATGTATACCTTGGTAGGAATAATTTTGCTATATTCCCAATTTCACTAGAAAATCATTAAAATTTGAGCTTGTCTTTAATTATTTTTCTGAGCACCTTCCTTAATGTTCTTCTTATTTCACTTATTTACAGTACAAAATTTTTCAGATCTGTTGGAATTTAATGCTAACTAACTATTGTAGCTAATTAACACCTCCATATGTACAAAATAAACGAACCAGCATGTTTATTGCAACATTCCGGATCATTGAATATTTTCTTTCCAATTTTTAAAATTTCAACATGCTGGAAGAATATGTAACTGGTTATATGAACACTCATACAACCCTATTACTCCTCGATGGCCTGATCTGAAGGCCATAAAAAATCTGTGGGACATGTTAAACCAGCATACAAAATGCCGTAATCAGTTTCCTCAAAATTTTGTGAATTTGCGCACTGAAATCATCAGTGAGTAATATAATTAGGAAGAGACATATCTTTAAAACCTTGTAAACTCACCGTCTAAATGGAAAAACAGGTGATTACTGGGTCTGAGGATAGAATTTATGATAGTTTTCGTGATTTCCCAAGGAATAACTAATTTTTAGTTCGATGAGCCGATATGTAGCGTTTAATGAATGATTTATCTAACAAAAAAGGGAATAATCCAATTGCCCATGAAAAAAATACAATTACTTTTTTTAAACTAGTAATTGTTTAAAACCTGGTGAGTTTAAATTAACCTATAAATGAATATTTCTTTTCATTTATATTAAATTTTGAAATTGTATTATTGGACTGATATCGGGAATTAAATACCTGGTATTATTACTCGATTAAAAAACTTCATTCCCTTCAAAAATTTACAGAATGGAAGAATCAGACGACATGTTTCTATCGCGCAAAAATAGAATGAACAAATGAATCAGCATGCATGCGAATGAAACAAGTTTCCAAGGCATCAAGGTGAACTGATGTGACTAGGGTAATTATAATTTTGGCATTGTTGAATTTGAACTCATGCCCAAGATTCCAACAATGTGCAACAATTGACGATTTCTCGTATTCTTGATTAGGGATATATCCATAGAGTTCCTTTAGTCTAAATTTAATAGCACGTCTAGTCCTCTAACTTGCTGCACTGACAAAAGTTGCACTGACAAGGAATGTGGCTCCAGCGATTATCATAAATCTTTAAGGGTTAACAAATCTAAAACAACTTTAAGATCCAAACGGGAGAGAATATTAGAAATTTTATAGCAGACGGTAAAGTTCTCTGTTAGGAAAGAAGAAGTGAATTTAGCTTGAGCTGAATCAACAATAGAAGGGTTAGCAGCAAGCGAGAGGGGAAATTTAAACTCGGAGTTTTAAGAGGAGCTTATTGGATATGAAATGCAGAATTAAGATGAAGGATGTTAGTTATAGAAAAATGGCGAATTAAACATGATATTTTTCTCCTTTAGATAAATTTTTAAACTGTTTTCAGTTTCAGATTGGATTTTATGACGAGGTACACATTCTGGAACTGCTTGTTTAGGGGATTTGTACACGGATTAGGAAGTTACGGTACAGGACAAATGGAAGTACAAAGAATGCTGAGTTTGAAGACAAGTGACAAAGCCTCGAGGTATAAACTTTATTCAATTCGTAGAATACAAATTAATAACTTTTAATTCCAGGATGCACTGAAATTTATTTTTCAATTTGATAATAATTTGAAATTAAACATTAATTTTTAAAGTCAATTTTTTTTATTTCTAATGAAAGCAGTATTTGCCAAATATGCTTAGTAAATCATCTCTTTACCTTCAAAAAAAGATGTATTTAAAAAACTAATTATTATTTTTTACCGAAACAAAACGTTCTCAGTACATTTAAATCTTCGTAACAAGTAAAAATTAATATATTTTAAGCAACTAGTCCACATTTAAGTTGAGGTTCAAAACATCATTGAGAATAAACATTACTCGATGTAATTGTTTTTTCTTAAATTAGACGGAATTCAGTCATATTATTATATCATCTATAGTAATGTTTAATTTGTATATTTTATAGACAGTTTAATTTGATCATTACCATGAAAGGATGTATATTTCTCTGAAGAAAAAAAAAACAATAAGTAAATGTTATTAATTAGTTGAGTCTTACAAAGTTTAAAGAAAAGGGAAAACTTCAAACATAAATTTAAGAAATTTTTTCATGCATTAACCAAATGATCCACAGATTATTCTTTGGTTTAAATTTTAGTTCAAAAGTTTTAAAAAAAAGCACCCTGTATTACCAGAACATTATTGTTTAATTTGCGCTAGTTTAAACTTAATATTAGAAAAGAATGTTTCTACACCAAGAGACGTAAACAATAAGACAAAAATAATCTAGGTGTTCAGTAAGCAAAAAAAAAAGCGAATTACCCAGAAATAACTTTTGATCTCATAATCGGATCTTCACGTTCTTGGACTCAATCTTGATGGCTCGAGAGGGTAACTTCAAATGCTAATTGATAAGTGCGGACGATATTTTAAGTTACAAAACCAGATTGAAAAACGTACTTTCTCTGAATAAACATACCTTTTTTTTCCCGAAGGATTTCTGAGCTCCAAAATACAGGGGTCCAAAAGTTTGAACCCTTTAATGTTAATATTACTTTTTGCGTATTTTGCTATATCTCGAGATTTTTCTTAAGCGAATTGAAAAATTATTGGACACAGTTATAAAATTCGTTTATACAAGGTTATATGGTAGTTTCCAAGCAAAAAATAACGTTTAATAAATATTTATTATTATTTTGTTGAATGATGGTCGAAAAAATTTCGATTTGTAAGGTATGCCTTTTTGGCATCATTTTAAATATATAATTTTGAATGGCAAAATACAATGCAAAATTTAAACAAAATAGGTTGAATAGTTTCTGAGAAATTGAATTTCAAAAAGGTCAGATGATTAAAATTTGATATCTCAGGAACTGTTCATCCGATTTTTCTCAAATGTTATATTTTGCCTTTTAAAATTATGCTCCTTAAAATGATACAAAAATTGAATGCCTTAAAATTAAAAAAATTTTCGACCATTACTAAATAAAATAATAAAAAATAATAAATATTTACTAAAAGTTATTTTTTGCATGGAATTATCTTAGTATAAACGAATTTTATAATTGTACCCAAGAATTTTTCATTTCGCTTAAAAATTTTTCGAGGTATAACGAAGTACGGTTAAAGTAAAATTACCTTTAAGGGATTTTATTTTTGAAGCGCACTCCTGACCTAACTATTGAGACCATATTTCCCAGATCGTGGCTATTCCCTATATTTCTGGGGTCAGAAATCGGAATTCCTCGAAAAAAAGGTAGTATGTTTATTCAGAGAAAGTATGTTTCTGTGTCTGATTTCGTATCTTAAACTATCGTCTGCATTTATTAATTAGCATATTTGAGGCAACCCTTCCCCCAAGCCATTCAGATGAAGTCTTAGAACGTGAAGATCAAAAGTTATTGAAGGTTGTTCATTTTCAAATAATAACTACCATTGATTTCTTTTTTGTATTGACAGAGCTCTACAGATTAGTATTTTACCGATACTCCTTCTTCACGTGATGTGCAACTCAGCTGGTCTCATATTGTATTCTCTATTTCATTTTTGTGATCCCATACTAAACACGAATCAAACAAAGCTTACAAAATATGATCAAGTAATGATATTATTTATTACTACGTATTTTATCAGCATTTTTTTTTGTTACTTTCTAAAAGTTTGAAATTTCAGTGAAAAATTAAATCTATTCAAATTTTATGATGATCAATAATTGCAAATATTTCTGGGTTTTAGTTTTCACGATCCTGATCGAAATGATCCAAAAACTCATTTTTAAAAAAAATTTGGCTGAAAATAGTTATAATGCGTAATAAAATTATGTGCAATAAAAGCATTTAGTATTAAAAGTATCTAACTTAATTATAATACTAGTGCTTAAGAATTTGTTGTGTACAATTTTTGTACCTATTTTTATCTAAGAATCTTCACAACAAATTTCAAAAAGTTCAAAAGTACGGTGAAAAATTAAATGTATTTAAATTTTTTGATGTCGAAAATTTGCAAATATTTTTAAGCCTTTCTGTTTTTCTTTATATGATCCTGATCAAAAATATTTAGAAACTGCCTTCCTATTTGATTTGACTAAAATTAGCTATAATTCATAATATAATTAAATGTACATATATATATATATATGGGTCATTCTCAAAAAAACAGTCATTTTCATGTCCCCAGTATATTTTATGCTTGTTTTACAGCTTACGAAGAAAAGAAATTCAGGGAAAGTGTCCTTCAGAATGCAAGCTAACAAAAGAATAAAAATAAAATTATCAATTTTTATTTTTTATTTATTTTAGGTAATTAAAATATACCAATATGTCATTCCCTCACTTGTCCCCACTGCTGATTTAAAAAAAGAAAAAAATTGTTTCTGAAATAAGAAAATTTTTTTACAAATTCATGTTTTTTATTTCAGAAT